ATTCCAAATTTAACTGGACCCTTAATCAGCTTATAACTTTCTTAGATCAAAATCTTATTAGCTTTCTGCGGTTTATTTCAAATTCTGTAAGTTCTTAAACTTATAATTAATTTTTCTTTTGTTCAGAGTTGAAGCTAAACTCACCCAGCAACTTTTCAACTTTTTGTTCTGAGGGTTTCTAATAACTTTAAGATGATTAACAGGCAATTACTGAAAGTGATTAGAAAGTGAGGCTTGCAAACCTAGTGTCCCTTAAAAGGCTCCACTGTGGTTACAAGCAAGATGGCTAATCCCTTCATTTTCCACCGTTCAAACCCACAGAAGACTGCTGTCCTGTGGTCTCCTCACAAGCAGCAACTGTCTGGAGCACATGTAGGCGATCTCCCATCCTCTCCTTAGCCAGAAAGGTTCCAAAGAACCGGTCTACTTACCGGTAGTTACCGGTTCTTTGGTCTTTGTTGCAATCATCAGTTCCACTTTTGCGGAGACATCTTCAGTTCGCCACACCTCCCCTGGAAGCCAGCCATTAATATCTGCCTTCTTGAAACCCAAAATGCATGTTTGGCAGTGCTTAGTTTTAGTTTTCCTTCAGCATTATGTTATCAGTTTTTGCCAATGTTCTTGCTACTTCCATTTCCTCAACTAAGGATTCCCTCTTGGTTAGTACTGTCAAGGATCACTAAGACAGCAATGTCTCCCAACTTATGTTGGTGTACATCACTACAGATTCATGCCTCTTTTAAAGATCTGCAGTTTGCTTTTGGAAACATCATCAATGTTTTCTCCTTGGTTGCACAGGCAATAGCAAATACCAACAACCATTGTTTTTTTCCTGCTTATTTTAATTGAGATGGTCTATACAGCATTTCCAAGTTCATTCATCAGGATTTCTGAGTGGGAATGGATTTTTTTATCCTTTAATTTTTGTATTCCAGTCTTTAGTATACCCATTAAAACAGTTCTTTAAAACTTATTTCTTAAAACAGACCACACTAAAAGCTCAATAACTTCTTGTTCTTTTTTCATACTCTGAGAAAATATAGACAATGAAGACCAAGACCTTTATGAGCTAATGTTCTGATTTTCACTGACTGATTAAGAGGCGCCACAGGATTTTCATTTCTACCCTAATTCAATTTAAGCACTACTAATCAATCTCACCATGTTTTAACCAAATACATTTTACTTGTTCTTGTGATGTGCATAGTATTTTGATTTAATTTGATATAGTTGTAGCAATTCTTGTAATATGATTTGTCCTCTCATATATTAGCAGGAAGAGATAATTGTCAGTAGACTTCATAATCCTTGGAAACTGCTGTTTTATCCTTCATTTTTGCTTGTCACAGCACACTTCACAACCCAATGGGTTCATCAGCATACGTTCTGATTCTTCAACTACCATGACTCTTCTCTGTGTTTTCTAATAGGACACAATTACATTCTTTCTTCCCTTTAAGTATCTACCATCCTGTCTTCCAATATGAAGTGCCTCTTATCTTCCCCTGAATGTTCAGAGCTTGTTTTATCTGCAAGAGCCTGAAAAGTGAGTTTTGGCAGTAATTCAAAGTATCTACTACATCACTTGGTTCTGATTGTTATTTTCATACACTGGGCTTCTTCTTTCATTTCACTGTCTTCCTTATGGAGTTGCTTCCATAGTTAGTTTGATAGTGCCTCCATTTTTTTAAAGGCTAAACCTCCATCCTTTCCCATTAGCTGAAATGTGGCTATTTCATGTGCCAATGGCTGGATTTTTTTTTTCCTTCAAGGACTGCTATAAGCTTGCATTTGCTGTAAACATATATCACATTATTTTCAGGTAGAAAGACAAAAATGGCACAAACACCAAGCTCCAAGTACAGACTTCTCTCTGTTCACCCTAGGTTACTACCAGTTGAAAAGCTTTTATTTATTTAATCCAATTTAGAGGCCACCTGACTCCCAACAACCAGGGGTAGGGGGAGGTTACAATTTAAAAACTAAGAAATAATATTACAAAAGAAAAGAATTAATGAGCTGCCTGAAGAAATACATAAACAAAAAAACAATCTAAGAGGGGCTTACCCTGCCCCAAAGCCTGGGAGAATAGCAGGTCTTCAGAAACTTCATGAATATCATGAAGGAGGATGCTATCAGATCTCTGGGAGGATATTATTCCATAGGACAGGCACAGTGTCCTTCTTAGGCTGTCAGGTTAGTCAAGTACAAATTCCTGACTCAGAGGGAAAATCTGTCATAGAATCCCCCTTAAATTCATTTACTAAACTAACATTACTTCTCTATGTTCACTCACTCAATGAATTCTCTCTGGAACCTGGCTGTTTGTGTACTTCTTATACTCTCTGTTTACTCAGCAGGAAGTAGCCATTCAATCAATCACCCACAAGAGCAATCACTAGTTTTCAAGGAACTCCCCGTACTCTTCAGGAGATGACATTTTTCCTCCTCTCAGTTTATCACCCAATCCCTCAGAACACAGAGTTTTTCAGTTCACTCTCCATTCTTCCTCCGGTTAATTCTTCATAGTTTGGTTGTTTGTCTCTTCAAAGCTGAACTATGTGATATGCATAATAGCACTTAAGAGATGGCTTTTTTTAAACACGAAATACATTAAAATTAAATCAGTATTTTTATATTGAGAATGTACATTTTCATGAAAGTATTAATCTTGCTATTTGGATTCTATTCTCACCAGTGTATAAGGGGTGTGGAAAGAAGTGTTTAAATACAGGTAAGGTCTGAGTGAGAGCCAGTTTGGTGTAGTGGTTACAGTATTAGGCTAGGAACCGAGACACCATGAGTTCTAGTCCCACCTTAGGCACAAAGCCAGTTGGGTGACCCTGGGCCAGTTACTCTCTCTCAGCCCTAGGAGGCAGGCAATGGCACACCACTTCCAAAATCTTGCCAAGAAAACTGCAGGGACGTGTCCAGTCAGTCGCCAGGAGTCAAAAACTGACTTGAACTGAGAGCCAGTTTGGGTTAGTGGTTAAAAAATCAGGCTAGAAACCAGGTGACCATGAGTTTTAGTCCAGCCTGAGGCATGAAGCCAACTGGGTGGCCCTGGGCTAGTCGTGCTCTCTTAGTCCTAGGAAGCAGGCAATGGCAAGGCACTTCCAAAAAAACATTACCAGGAAAACTGCAGGGACTAGTCCAGGCAGTTGCCAGGAGTCAACACAGACTCAAAGCCCCCCCCCCCCCCAGTCTGAGTACTTGTTTTATAAAGGAAGCTATTAAAGTGGTACTAGATGATTTTCTCTGATAGATTTTCTAAATCAAGAATTTAAACTATGTTTAATTAACATTAATCTTGCAACATTGGACTTTTGGGGAAGAAATGGCTAACTGAAGACAGCTCTGACAACTGCAGCAGAATGAAGAGCCGGTCAGTAGACCAGCTCTTCGTAATTTCTCTCTGGACAAGAGGAGGACTTAAGATCGCCCACATGTGCTCCAGACAGTTGCTCCTCGCAAGGAGACTACAAGACAGGGGTCTCGGGTGGGTTTTGAGCTCTGGAAGATGAGGGAATAGCCATCTTGCTCAATCCACTGTCTGTGGCTTTAATGCTCACTGGGTTTGCATACTTCCTTTTCTAATCACTTTCAGAAATTGCTTGTTAAATGCTTTTCAGCTATTAGGAACATTTGAATCAACAAGTCTGAAAACACTGGGTAAGTTCCTTCAATCTTTAGGGTGATGGAATGGAATTATGAAGGCCAAGCTCAGGGAGATAAACATTTTCTTAGCTTGCGAGAACCGCGTGGGAGGAACAAGAAGATGAGACTGGCACCTCCCTGAGGAATTCACACTGTT